GGCGCAAACTCCTTCGCGTCGCGGCTTCGCACCGACTGCACGTAGGCCTCCAGCGCGCCCCTGCACACGGACACACACACACACAGACAGCACTGAAACTGCCTGCCGCGCTGAAACGCACCCCGTGGGGAATCTGAGGGGAGCAGGGAAGGAAGCCTTTGCAAGGAGCTACATAATTGTTCCGTGCTCTCGCCCTCCTTTCCTGCATGTTTTGAGGAGTGAACAAGTTAACATTTAAGTAATCAGCAGCAGCGCGTTGCAGATGGCTTGAAATGACAGCTCTGACGCACAGACGCGGGCACAGTGCTGTGCTGGTAACCTTTAGGAAGGGAAAGAATAGACTCCAGCTGCTGCCGCCACCGAGAGTGCGACTTGGGAAGGAAATCTGGGACACTGGGGAACTGGAGAGAGGCCTTCAGGTGATGCAGAGTCCTTTGAACCTCTCTCCTTTGGGAAAGCCTGTTCTGGACCATGAGAAACTCGCTGTGTGTTTGTGCATCCCTGCTGTGCTGCTGTTAGAGGATCACATATAYAAGTAGTAAGTATGTATGAGTTACATAAATGTGGAAATGTCAAAGCTTGGGGGGGGGGGGGGCTACAAAATAACTAACTTGCCCATAGGACAGGGCCACTTATTTTATCCAACATGTCCAGTAAATAGGACTGTTGTTTTCATTTATAGATACATACACCCCCCCCCAAAAAAAAAAAAAGAGAAAAAGCCAACTCCCTTGTAAATGCTAAACTGTTCAAATTTTCAATTAATATTTTATTAATTAGGCCATGTTAGTTTTGCCATAGTTTAGTATGGTCTAGTAATTTAATTGATTCTTTCACCCTTTGTCCCTCTCACCTCCTTTTTKTCTGCTCTTCCTATAACAGATACAATGATCGGGAGGGGGATTTTGCTAAAATCCCCTTGTTCAGGTCACTTTTCCTTGGTGCTGCTCACAGAACAGCGGGGCCGCTCAGGATCTGCGTGTGAGGAAGAACTTGTTTGGTGTGAGGGTGCCCGAGCCCTGGCMCAGGCTGCCCAGGGAGGCTGTGGAGTCTCCTTCTCTGGAGATCTTCCAAAGGYGCCTGGATGCCGCCCTGTGCCCCGTGCTCTGGGTGTCCCTGCTGGAGCAGGGGCTTGGACTGGATGAGCTCTAGGGCTCCCTTCCAGCCTCCACCACTCTGGGATTGTGTGAGAGCGGCCGCAGGCCCCGGAGGGCCCTGGCGCTGCCGCACGGGCGGGTGGTGCCGCMGGGCGAGCGGCACCAGCTGCAGCCCCGGCCGCCGTCGCGGTGTGCGAAGCTGCAGGCGCAGCCCCGCGGCCGGCCTGGAACAGGCAGCGCCGGGACCCCAACCGCGGAGCCACGGCCCTGGCCAGGCAGGGGCAGGCTCAGCACCCACTGCAATACCCCGGAGTAACGGGGTCTGAGCTGCCTCGAGGAAAACTAAACCCACCCAGTCCGACACAGGCCAAAAGCCGCCAGCAAAGTTCATTTAATGACTGCTGGGAGGTGCTCCTGCAGCCCTAACCTCGCACTTAGCTTGGCGGAGAGGTGCGTGCCGAGCCCAGCAGGTCTGAGCTGCTCCTGTGGGGAACAGCACCCGGTTACGGAGGGAAAAACTGCTCACTGCAGCGTGAGCAAACTGCTCCCTGTACCCCAGAGCGCTCCGGGTGCTGGCAGCAGCAGCAGCAGCAGCATCCATGGCCTCGGGTGGGCTGTAACCATCCGGAGACCAGGAAAGGAAGGTAGGGAAGAGCAAGCGCAGGAA